GGGGGGGGGGGGGGGGGGGTGAAGGGGCAGGAGAAAATAACTGGAATAGCCAATATTGGGGGATTGGTTATGTGGTTAGTCTCATCAACCTAATGGAATGTCAGGCATCTATTCAGGATGATGAGCTTTATTAACAAATCAAAAGGTGGAATGCCAAAGCTACATCTCACTGTGATAAGAACCATGTAAAGTTACATATGCATATGAGTATGGGTGAACTAGAAGCAATTGATTTGTTAAGGCAGGATTATGAGGACATTTTTTTCTTGTTTTCATTTAGTCTTCTATTTGTATGTGTAATGAAAATGTAAAATGTTTGCATTTTAAACTCACATTTAGAAATATTTCTCTTCATTAGGGATGGATCCGTTCAGTCCGATCCCAGAAGGAAGTCTTGTTCCTGCATGTAAATGATGGGTCATCTTTGCAAAACCTTCAGGTTGTAGCAGATTCAAGCTTTGACAGTAGGTGAGTTGGGGGGTGCGGGGGAAAGAGTCCTTTGATTTTTTTTTTTTCCCATCTCCTCTGCTCCACATTTTCCTAATTCGGTGTTCACATTGCCCCCTGAGTGATTTTTCTAAACAAATCTGCTTTTCATGGCTTTCATGCTCAAGTTCAAGATCCTCTAAGCTCGGGCCTTTCCTCCTAACATGTTCGTGTGACAGTATTCCCCACCTATCCTTTGCTTCAGTTTCTCTTAATTACGTGCAGCTTTTAACTCAACGAAGTAAGGGTAAAAACTTTTATCGTTAAATATTTTAATGTTCTGATAGCAAGATTTGTATTAAGATGAGGGTCGCATATAATGATATCTTGTTTATTGTTGTTTTTTTTGTTACTATTAGAGAACTGGCTTTTGGGAGTTCTGTGGAAGTTCAAGGGCAGCTGGTAAAAAGTCCATCCAAAAGGCAAAATGTAGAACTGAAGGCAGAAAAAATTGAAGTTGTTGGAAATTGTGATGCTAAGGTATGTTTTCTGACCCTGTTATGGAGGCTGTTTAGGCTTAATTTAAAACATTAGCAATCAGTTTTAAGTGTGATTATTGGGAAGAGGACATTTAGAACATGTTTTGATTGGGACTTCCTAGATCACTGAAACAGGCTATAGAGCCTGAGGAATGTAGAGAGTAGCAAAAAGTATTTATGCAGATGGTTGAGTCTTATGAGTGAGAGCTAAGCATTAGTCTATGCATCTCTGTGGTGCATGTCACACTTGAAACTTACCACTTTTACAACAATGCCCAGTCGACCTCAGATCCAGAGGTGAACCAGGGCAGACCACGTCCTTCAGAAAGCTCTGTCTAGAAGTGACTTTTGCATGATCTAGAATTGTATTGTCCAATACAGTAGCCAATAGCCACCTGTGGCTGTTTAATATTAAATCAATTAAAATTAAATAAAAAATCCCGTTTCTCAGGGGCATTAGCCATATTTCAGATGCTCAATGGTCACATATAGTGGCTACCATACTGAACAGCATAGATACAGAACATTTCCACTTATCATAGAAAATTCTACTGGACAGTGCTATATAGTGTTGCAATGCTTGGGTCAAACAAAGAAATTCTACATTAAGACACGTTTATACGTGTTTTTGTACTCTTCTGTGTAACTTTTATTTGTAGCCTGATAAAGAGGTTGAAGGGAATAAAATCATAGATTCAATCTAATTTCTTAAATTGGAGAAAATGAGGCCCAGCCAGATGAAATGACTTTCCTGAGGTTACAGTGCTGATGAGTGGCTCAGCTGAAATTGATGTACTAGCCATCTGACTCCCCTGTGGTTTTGCAATAGTACTTGTCTTCAAATATTTAGTGAACAAAAAATGAGGAAATGTAGGGAAATTGCATCATTTTAATTCATTTTTAGTTCTTTTGGATAACTGGAAGAAGTTAAATGTAGGAAAGAAAGAAACGGAGCAATTTTTTAAAAATGTTATTCTGAATAATTTTCTAAGAAATTCTTATTGACATGTAAAATCAAGAATCAGGTTCTGAAGCTGAAGTAGAATAATATTGAATGTCAACTATAATTCAATATATATATGTATACACACACACACACACACACACACACATATTTATGACCATAGGAAATATAATCAATGGTATTGTAAAAGCTATATACGATGTCAGAGCGGGTAGTAGACTTGGGGAGTGGTTATCACTTTGTGAGGGGTGTAAATATCTAATCATGTTGTTTTGTACACCTGAAACTAGTATAAAAATTTTTTTTAAAAAAGAATCAGGTTCTAAAAATAGACTGAAAATAATTTGGAACTCAGAGAGGAATGGAGATGGTAACCATTTTTATTTTTGCTTTTTTAGCGGGATGTATGATTATTAAAAATTTGCCATGTGTTTTACTCTTTTTAAATTGTTCTCCCTTGGCTTTTGTGGGTGTTGATGCCTTCACCTTCTCTTTCCCTTCATTTCAGTGTCATTTTTAAGTACAGTAAGTCCCCGACTTACAAACGAGTTCTGTTCTGGGAGAACGTTTGTAAGCCCAATTCGTTCGTAAGTCCGACAAAGTGAGTCTTATCCACCTTTGACACAAATACACAATGTAAAGCCAATGGTTGAACGATTCATGTTCTAAGAACGAGCGACAGCTACCATCTTTTCGCCTCGGTCCAATCTCTCAATTATTTTCACTTTTGTTTCCATGGTTATTGCTTTGTGCTTCCTAGCAGTCCCCTCCACATGACCACTGCTTTTCCTCTTGCTTCCGGACATCCTGGGCTCTGATTGAGCACTGTACTACTGTACACTATCGCACTGTACAGTAAGCACACAGCAGCACAACTGTGACAATGTCCGGCCGACACGTGAGCTACTTCTGTGATTTGTTCACATCTACCAGTGTTTGTAACGCGAGGTCCTTTCGTATCTGTGAAAGTTCGTAACTCGGATGTTTGTAAGTCGGGGACTTACTGTATTTAGACATTAGGGAATTCTGAACTCGTGACAGTCCCCGATTCCTATTACTGTGGTCATATTTTCACTTTAGTAAGTGTGGTGCTTATTTCTATGTGACCTGAATTAGTATGTGCACGAGTTCTTTTTTTTTTTTTTTTTAAGATTTTTTTATTGGGTAATTGGGGGGATGGGAACAGTGCTGGGGAATTAGGGGAAGGGGAACAGACAAGTTGCTGTCGTTTTGTTCTTCAATCTAGTTGTGGAGGACGCTGCTTCACTGGCCCAAGTTGGCACCATCATTGCGCTCTTCCCTGTCGAGGCAGATCAGTCGCCGGCTTCTGGACGGCCGCTCACTGCGGCTGCTGGCCGCTCACGCTGGCTGCTGGCTACATACGGTAGCCCATGGCAACCCACTGCCACAGGGACTGCAGCCTATGCCGTCGCCAGCAACTCACGGCAGCCCAGCTCCAGGTTGAGCTGTTGTTCAGCATCTTAGCTGTAGAGGGCAGTGTCACTGGCCCTCATATGTGGGATCCGAACCGGGGCCCTCTGGCATCCCAAGCGAGTTCTTAACCATCGCGCCACTCGGCCGGCCCGACAAGTTCTTAAGAGGACTAGACAAAACTAAAAGCAATAGGCTGACAGTGTAGCTCTTTTACTTAGTTTCTTTCTTTCTTTTTTATTGAAACTTTGGTTTTGGTCTGAAAATTTGATTTTGTCTTTTTAATCTTATAACATGAGTAAGGGTAAGGTAGAAATACTTCTAAGTAGAGTCACGATTTCCTTTAAAATTTTCGTAAGTATACACTACTCTACCAGATGACAGAAAGCTGTTGACTCTCCCTCATGTTCTTAGATGGCAGTGCATGCTGATAAACAGTGATAAACAGTATCAGTTGATTATGAATAATTGTGGACTCTCAAGATATTTGGGTAACTTTAAAACTGAACAACAGCTGTGTGTATACAGCTGTAGAAAGCAATCTGTAATATCTACAATATTCGGAACTCCTGTATGCCAAAAAGTGGACTATTTTGCATAATTATATCCTAATCTTTCTATTTATAAGGAGTGATGACAGCTAATGGATAGAAATTTGATAAATAACAGATTAGCCTTAGTGATATTAAATGTATTTGCTCACAGCTAATAAGTAGTAGAGTGGAATTCAAATCCACATCTGATTACACCCCATCGCCATTCCAACTTGTTGGAATTAATGTGGACTATATAAGAAAAAAAAGAAGGAAAGCACCTTAGTTTTGTCATAAAGCACTACTACTTTTTAAATGCCCTGGAAACTGTGTCTTTTTAGTTTCTAATTTGTTTTTTGTTTTCCATTTATTGGCAGACTTTTCCTTTTAAATATAAAGAGAGGCATCCTCTGGAGTATCTGAGACAATACCCTCACCTTAGGTGTAGGACTAACGTTCTGGGTTCCATACTGAGGGTTCGCAGTGAAGCCACAGCTGCTATTCATTCTTTCTTTAAGGTAAGGTGCTGCTCTTCTCGGTGTTCTGTCTTGTGAAGAAGTTGAATAATTGTAACACTGGAGTATTATCCTGAAAGTTCTGTTAGTTATTCCAAGCACCCTTTACTTGAGTTGTACATTTTTCTTCGGTTGATTAAAAATTTTCTGTTTATCACTGATTTTGAGCAATTTGATTATGATGTGCCTTGGCACAGTTTTCTTGATGTTTCTCACGTTTGGAGTTTGTTGAGTTTCTTGAATCCATTCTTTTTAATTTTCATCAACTTTTTCAGCCATTACTTCTTCAAATGTTTTTTATTTTTCCTCCTTCCTTTGGGGACTTGAACTACCCATCTGTTAGGCCACTTGATGATCTCTCCATAGCTCACTGATGTTCTTTTCTTTTATAAAATTCTTTTTTGTTTTCCATGTTTCTTTTGGATAGTATTGCTATATCTTCAAGCTTACTTATCGTTTCTTCTACAATCCCTAATTTGTTTTTATTCCTATCCTGTGCATTTTTCATCTCACACATTGTAGGTTCATATCTAGATGTTTGATTTGGCCCTCTCCCTTTTTTTAAATATATTCCGTTTCTTTGCTTAACTTTCTGAGCACATACAATACAGTTTTGACATATACAATGTAGTAAAAGTACCGTTTTTATGCCCTTTCCTTCTAATTCTAACATATCTGTTAGTTTTGATTGATTAATCTCCTCATTATGGGTTATGTTTTCCTACCACTTTGCATACCTACTAATCTTTGATTAGATGCCAGACATTGTGAATTTTTACCTTATTGGGGGCTGGATATTTAGAAAGCTTCTTAAGCTTTGTTCTGGTATGCAGTTAAGCTACTTGAAAACTGTTTGATCTTTTGGGTCTTTCTTTTAAGCAGGTCTGGAGAAGTGCTCAGTCTAGGACGAATTATTTCTCATTGTTGAGGCAAAGCCTTCCAGAGCACTCTACCTAGTGCATTGTGAATTATGAGTTTTTCCGATCTGGCTTGTGGGAATAGGCACCATTTCCAGCCACATGTGAGCACCAGCCACCGTTTCCTCTAATCTTTTCGGATGATTCTTTCCTTGTCCTTGGATGGTTTCCTCACACAAATGCTGATCGTTCCTCCACCTAATACTCCAAGTGACCCTCTATACATCTCCGGAGTTCTCTCTGATACCCTGTCATATAAACTCTAATGACTTTGGTATCCTCGGACTCTCAGCTCTGTCTCTTTAATTGAGGGAGTCTGCTGAGCTCCACTTTATTCCTCCCTCTCTCTGCTATGGCCTGGAAAATCTCAAGGTAGAAAGCTAGGCTGCTGCGAGGGTTCACTATGTTTGTTTCCCATCTCTCAGGGATCGCTGTCCTTTGTTGTCTGATACTCAGTGTCTTGGAAACCAATCTTTCATGTGGTTTGCTGGTGGGGTTTTTTGTTTTTAATTTTTTTATTGTTTCAGGTTAGGAGAGTAAATCTGGGCCCTAAGATGGCTTGATCATAGACATATTTTATATGTAGTAAGCACAAATTTTAGAGAGTTACTGGTATTGATCAACTAGACTAAAGGCTTTTATGTCTTATTTAGTTTTGCTTTTCAGCCATCATCCCCACCCCGTTCGCAAAGCCACAGTGGAATGTACTAGTTGGTAAGTTGATGAGGTGACGAGGACCCCCCCCCCATGTGGAAGGGAGGGCCCCAAAGGCGAGGAGTGACCCGGCAGGTAAAGTTTAGTGTTGTTCCATGTGGTTTTGGAATTTTCTATGCCACTTTTCCAGATCCAGCTAATTTGCAAAGATTGTTTAACGGCATACCCTTCCCTGTATTCAGATTCGTGCAGGCCCAGCCCTGATATAGCACACCAAGAGAGTTCTTACTCTTTGAAAAGCTTCTTCTGGTGAAGTAGCTAAAGAACATGATGGCTTTAAAGCATATACTGTACTTTTAAATAAACAAAGGAAAGTAAATCACATTATACAGTGTCATCCCATTGTAGTTTGAAAGAGTGCATTTACATATGCGCTCATAAACTTTCTTATGCAATGTCCATATGGCTTTTCAGTAGTGCTTGAACCACACAAAAAACAAATTTGTTCAGATCCAAAAATGTTTTTCCCCCATATGGCTTTAGCAGCCAATAAAGTGGGCCTGCTTTAATTATGAAACAGTTGTACAGATTTCTTGCCACTAGATGGTGGTATTAGCAGTCCGTTGACAAGTGGGCTTTACCTACTTTGTGCATTTCTTCATTACTTGAAGTTTTTGTAAATATGTCAACAATTAAAAAAGAGAACAAACTAGAAAAATCTGAAATGAAAAAATAAGCAAGCTAAAGTAAAATTTAAAACAACCTTCTAAGTGGTTGAAAATAAATTTTAGCACTGTTGGTGATATTTATAAAGTAGGTACTTTTGAGTGCTACAAATTCACTTTTTAATTGTAAAGCCATGGAAAATATAATCCTGATACCAACTTCTATAGTGTTAACCGCTTATAAGTATGATAATTAGGATTGAATTGTTTAGGGAAATCACAGGATATATTAAATAATCATTATATATTATCTAGTATTTGGTACTATTTCTGTAAGTTGTTACTTTAGGCTCCCTAAAAGATGTTACGACTTAAAATGTAAAATTTTCATTAATTTCAAATCTAGAAATACAGGACAATAATAAACTTGAGCACAACCTTTTAGTTAGGATACTTTAAGCAGATACTTTGAGTTCCTATGACTGATTTCTGAGGATTTTTTTTTTGTCTTGCTGTCACTTTTTGTTGCCAGTGGTGTGCCTGTGGCTAGCAATTGCTGTCATATTTCTTTTTTATTTATTTTGATTAAATAATGATGCTTATTTTGGGTATGTGTGAAAGAAAAATATAGTCCTTGAGCCATTGAGGGATGTGTATGGGCTTTAGCACATGAATTTTGTAATTTTCAGATACTCAGTGCCTTATAAAATATCTGGTTCTAGAATGTATATCTATCAAAATATTTAGATTTTTAGAGGTAGTGGGTGGAATCTGAAAAAATTGGGTGAAATGTGTGTACTTTTATTTTTGATGCCTTCTCTGGCCTTCATACCTCTAGCTAGGAACCACTTCGCTGTGGGGTGGGATGAGTGCCTGACGGTGGTACCCATCGGAGGCAGCGACGGACCGGCAGTGCTCCCCCACTTCTTGCTACTTATTTTGCTTTTTGTCTTCCTGCTTCCCTATCCACTGTCTCTCTTTTTGGACTTTATTCTCAGTGACTTATTATTCTTCCTTTGTACTCTCCTTAATAGCTTTTGGTGGCAATGTTATGGACTTTGATATGATAAGCCTTGCTAGCAGCATTAAGGCTTAAAAAGTTAGTGACACCTTTGGAAACGTTTAGCATTGGTTGAGCATTAAGAATAATTCCCACTACTTGGGAGTGATTTTAAAAAAAACAACAACAACAACCTCATACAGTTATTTTCATGAGATTTACTGTGTTGTTTCTTGTGGCAGTTGACCAGATCTAACTTTGGCAATTATATTTAGCCGTTAAATTTTCTCCTCCCTCTCCCCCTCCCTCTCACCACCCTGGTTTCCTTTGGATTTTTCACTTCCTTTCTTTGTTTACTGCACTCGTGCTCATAGTTGCCTGCATTCGTGTGGAATAAATGATTCATGTCCATAATTCTTGGCTCCTGAGAGATAAAAATTTTATTCAGCAATGTTATTTATTATATTTCATTCATTCTCTATAATGTGCGCTGTGCAGCACCTCTAGGCATGATGCTCCTGGATTAAGTACATATTTGAATACTTTCTGAGACTCCTAATTTAGAGTTTGCATATTTAATCAGTCTACATCATAAGGCAAGTTGTTAACTGGATACTTTGTATCTTAGCCAGAATACTTGAATTCAGCCTTTTTAGGAAGGAGCAAATTTGGGAGGTCCCTGGTAACACACTGAGACATTTTACATTCCACCAGTGATAGGCAGAGTTTAGCAGAGATAAGATGTGTATATATGAATTTATTGTATTGATTTCAAGACCAATTTTTTTTTGCATTAAACACATACTATTCTGCCTTTGCAGCATAAGTCTCTTTAGTTACCTCCACCTCCACCCTGCAACATTTATGCTAAATGTAACCTTTTGCCTACATCCATAGTCAAAATGAAAGAAGCATAACCTTGAAGTTGCTTGGTTATTCTAATCCTAGTAGCAACAGCTTTTGTGGTTCACTAATGGAAATAGTCTCAGACTCTGGAGCGGAAGAATTGCAATTGGGCGCCTCGGTAATGGATGGATTTGCTGCTCAGAATCTTCTTTGAGGCGAAGGAAGTGCACTGCCTGTGCCACATGCAGTGCACTGTGCAATCCATTTAATGATAGATTTCCTAAAACTCATTTCTGCCTCCGTTTGCTGTTTATTTCTCCAGTGCCTATTTGTCAACCTTAATTTTTTCCCTTTTTGGTGGTTTGTTACAATTGAAGGTCTCATTCCAAAACAACCGAACTTTATAATAAACCAAACTTTATAATAACCGATCACTTTGTATTTTAGCAATGTGGGCATTGTACATTAGCCTTGAGTGAGTGAGTGAGTGATCCAGCATTAAATCATTACCAGTATGTTAGAATAGTGGGAAGAAGAAACAGCACCAGAGAAAGACCCTGAAGACCTAAGTTCCAGTCCTTGTTCTGCCACTGATTAGTGTGTAACTTTTGGCAATTTGATAAATCATTCTGGCCTCAATTTCCTTACCTTTGAAATGAAGAGATTGGACTAGATAATGTCTGACTCAGTTTCTGATTTAAAATGATTTGTACTTCTGCGCATAGTAAAACACTCAGCTTCATATTTCAGTAGTTTTCTTCAGGGCATCAGGGAGGGATTTCATATAGCATTCTCTTAGTGCTCTTTTAATAGTATTATAATAAGGTATATGTTCTTGGAATTGTTTCATATACAAATATACTGAAAGAAAGTGGCTTTTCTTTTTCTTCCAGGACAATGGCTTTGTGCATATTCATACTCCCATAATCACATCCAATGACTGTGAGGGGGCTGGAGAACTTTTCCAAGTTGAAGTAAGTTGTGCGTCCCACCTTAGGGGATATATTGCCCTTCATCTGAGGGTTTGCTTTAAATTTAATAAGAATTGTGTGGATAGACCGTGACCAGAACTTGAAATATTGTCAATAGTAACCCTTAAAAAAAACATGTAGAAGATTCAAACTTCTCTGATTTCCTGTCCTACCAGCTATATTATTTACATTGTGACTAAAAGGAGTGGATTTTTAATTTAGTACTCCATTTGATTTTCTTATATAGCTATGAGTTGGTAAACTAGAGAAATTTGAAGAGACAAAGATTCTAAGATATATTTTGTGCAAATTCAATTCCCAGTTAATATTTTTGGATGTCAGTCATATTTTAAGAGATAAAATAGAAAAGTGTACATATTAATATTTTCTTTTTCAAAGTCTTTAAAAAACATAGTTTTGATAAGAAATTATTTATGTTCTATACACTCATGAAGGCTCTTATTTTAATTCTTTATTCAGCAATCATTTTTTGAGTTCCTAATATGTGCCAGGTATTGTCAGCCTGGCCTTCTTGCAGGAAATTTAAAATTTACCAGCATTTCTTACTTGTAGGCGGTAGAAAGCCCTTTCATTTACCAGTTTGTCCTGCTGTTTAAAATCATTGGCCAGTAGTACAATAATGGACAAATAGAAATGTATGTTCATGAGTGATGCTTTTTGTATTTCTTTCATTTATTCACTGATTTCTTTATCACTAAAAAGTCAAGATTCTTGTGTACACATTTTGTTGATTCCATCAAATGACAAAACCTGTATATAACTGCTCTCTGGTTCTGTACACTTTGACTCTCTTTTTTTTCTTCAATTACAATTGACATACAATATTATATTAGTTTGAGGTGTATAACATAGTGATTACACATTTATATAACGTATGAAGCGATCACTCCAATAAATCTAGTACCCATCTGATACCATACGTAGTTATTAAAATATTATTGATTATATTCCCTATGTTGTATTTTACATCCTTATGACTGTTTTTATAATTGGCAATTTATCTTTTTTTTTTTAAGATTTTATTGAGGAATTGGGGGAGGGGAACAGACAAGTTGCTGTTCTTTTGTTCTTCAGTCTAGTTGTGGAGGACATTGCTTCACTGGCCCATGTTGATATTATCATTGCACTCTTCCCAGGTGAGGCAGATCAGTCGCCGGCCACTGGACGGCTGCTCATGGTAGCTCTTGGCAGCTCACGCCAGCTGCTGGCCGCTCACGCCGGCTGCCGGCCACTCACGGTAGCTTATGGCAGCCCACTGCAGCCTCACTGCAGCCTACGCCATCAGTGTCGCCGGCGACTCACTATAGCCCAGCTCCAGGTTGAGCTGTTGTTCACCATCTTAGCTGTAGAGGGCGGTGTCACTGGCCCTAATGTGGGATCCAAACCAGGGTCCTGCTGCTCAGAGCTGGCATACCAAGCCAGCTCTTAACCAACATGCCACTCTGCCAGCCCAGCAATTTGTCTTCTTAATCCTTTCCCTCTTTACACCCATACCTTCAACCCTCCTCCTTTCTGGCAACTATCAGTTTGCTCTGTGTATCTATTGAGTTTTTCTCTTTTGTTTGTTTATTCTGTTCTTTAGATTTACATATAAGTGAAATCATATGGTATTTGTCTTTCTCTATCTGACTTATTTCCCTCTTCAGCATAATACCTTCTAGGTCCAGCCATGTTGTTGCACATGGCAAGATTTCATTCTTTTTTATGGCTGAGTAATATTTTATATATATATATATATATATATATATATATATATATATATGTATATCTGTATATATATGTGTGTGTGTGTGTGTGTATGTATGTATATGCCAACTCTTTTATTAAAGATTTTTATTAAAATATATCTAACATATTATATTAGTTTCAGGTATACCCCATAGTTATTCAACATTTTTATACCTAAAGAAGTACATGGTAAGTCCAGCAACCATCTGACACTAGACCACGCTATCACAATATTATTGACCATATTCCCTATGCTGTACATTACATCCTCATGACTTATCTGTTTTATACCTGGAAATTTGAACCTCTTATTCCCCTTCAAATTCCGCCCCCCCTTTTTAAATTTTTCAATTGCAGTTGACATTCACTATTATATTAATTTCAGGTACACAGCCTAGTCGTTAGACGTTTACATAATTTAAGAAGTGATCCCCTGATTAGTCTAGTACCCACCTGGCACTACACATAGTTATTACCATATTATTGACTGTATACCCTATGTTTTACTTTACCTCCCTGTGACTGTTTTGTAACTACTAATTTGTACTTCTTAATCCCTTTTTCACCCTGCCCCCAACACCCTGCCATCTATCACCCCTATATGGCACCATATGTGGTTATTACAATATTATTAACTATATTCCTTATGCTATACCCTACATCCCCATGACTACTGTGTAACAACCAATTTGTACTTCTTAATCCCTCCCCTTTCTTCACCTGTTCCCAACCCCCCTCCTGTCTGGCAACCATTAAAATGTTCTCTATGAGGGCCGGCCGAGTGGCTCAGTTGGTTAAGAGCTTGCTCAAGAGTTTGAGCTCTGAGCAACAGCGGTTTGAGTCCCGGCCCGAGCTGAGCNGCCGCTGAGCTGCCAACAGGTAGCAAGATGGCTCAGCTAAAAAAAAAAAAAAAATTCTCTATGAGTTTTTCTGTTTTGTTTGTTTATTTATTCTTTAGATTTCACATATAAGCAAACGTGCATTGCATTTGTCTTTCTCTGTCTGACATACTCCACTCAGCACAATTCCCTCCAGGTCCATTCATGTTGCCACAGATGGCAAGAACCCATTCCCTTCCCTGGCCAGCAATGTTTCATTGTATATATGTACCACCTTCTCTTTATCCATTTATCCATTGACAGACACCCAGGCAGCCTTCATATCTTGGCCATTGTAAACAATTCTACATTGAACATATGGCTGCACTTGTCCTCTCAGTAGTGTTTTGGGTTTCTTCAGATAAATACCCAGAAGTGGGATTACTGGCTCCTTCTTTGTCTCTTGTTATAGCCTTTATTTTAAAATCTATTTTGTCTGATATAGGTATTCCTACCCCACCTTGTTTTATTTTGTTTTGTTTCCATTTTCATAAAATACCTTTTTCTGTCCCTTGACTTTTAGTCTGTGTGTCGTCTATCTGAACGAGAGAGTCTCTCGTAGGCAGCATATGTAAGGATCTTGTTTTCATATGCATTCACCCGCCCTATCTTTTTTTTCTAAGATTTTTTATTGGGGAACTGGAGGATGGGAACAGTGTTGGGGAATTGGGGAAGGGGAACAGCCAAGTTGTTGCCCTTCAATCTTATTTGTGGAGGGCGCAGCAAGCTCAGCTCCAAGTCCAGTCATGATGCTCAGCTCAAGGTGCCATGTTCAATTAGTTGCGGGTGGGCGTAGCCACCATCCCATGTGGGAGTCGAACCAGCAGCCTTGTAGTTAAGAGAGTGCGTTTTATCCCCTCAACCACCCGGGGGGCAGCTCAGCTCAAGGTGCTGATTTCAGTCTTTAGTTGCCGGCAGGCATAGCCCACCATCTCGAATAGGCAACCTTGTTGTTAGGAGCACGTGCTCTTACCAACTGAGCCATCCTGCCACCTGTTGGCAGCTCAGTTTGGGTGCAGCTCAGTTCAGACGCAGCTCACTGGCCCATGTGAGAATTGAACTGGCGACCCTGTTGCTCAGAGCTTGCACAAGGCTTGCACTCTTGAGCAAGCTCTTAACCAACTGAGCCACTTGGCAGGCCCCCACCCTATCTTTTGATTGGAGCATTTAATCCATTTACATTAAGAGTAATTGTTGATAGATATGTAGTTACTGCCATTTTATTCATTTTATTTGTTTGTTTGTTTGTTTGTTTATTTATTTGTATTAAAGAAGTCCCTCTAAGAATCCTTGTAATATTGTGGTACTGGTTTGGTGATGATGAACTCCTTTGGCATTTTCTTGTCAGGGAAGCTCTTTATCTGTCTTTTGATTCTAAATGACAGCTTTACTGGGTAGAGTAATCTTGGTTGTAGGTCCTTACTTTTCATCACTTTGAATATTTCATTCCAGTCCCTACTGGCTTACAAAGTTTCTATTGAGAAATCAGCTGACAGTCTTATGGGAACTCACTTGTGGGTAACTAACTGCTTTTCTCTTGCTACTTTTAACATTCTTTCTTTGTGTTTCACCTTTGGCATTTTAATTATGATATGTCTTGGTGTGGGCCTCTTTGGGTTCATCTTGTTTGGGACTCTGCACTTCCTGGGCTGTTTGTCCTTTTCCTTCACCATGTTAGGGAAGTTTTCTGTCATTATTTCTTCAAATAGGTTTTAAATTCTTTTCTCTCTTCTCCTTCTGGTACCCCTCTGATGCAGATGTTGGTATACTTGTTGTCCCAGAGGCCACTTGAACTCTTCTTATTTTTTTGGATTGTTTTTCCATTTTGCTGTTCTGATTGGGTGTTTTCTGCTACCGTATCTTCTAAATCTCTGATTCAATCTTATGCTTCATCTAATTTACTGTTGATTCCCTCTACGGTGTTCTTCATTTTAGTTATTGTATTCTTTATTTCTGACTGGTTCTTTTTTATGTTTTCTATTAGCATTTTTATGTTTCCTGTCTCTTTGTTGAAGTTTTCCCTGAGATCACTAAGCATCCTTATAAGTGGTATTTTGAACTCTGCATCTGTCTGGTTGATTGCTTGTCCCCATTTTGTTTAGTTCTTTTTCTAGAGTTTTGTTCTTTTCTTTCATTTGTGACATGTTTCTTTGCCTCCTCATTTTGGCTGCATGCCTGTGTTTGTTTCTATGTATTAAGTAGGGCTGCTGTGTCTCCTGGTCGTACTATGTGGCCTTATGTAGTAGGTGTCCTGTGGGGTCCAGTGGTGCAGTCTCCCTGGTCACCAGAGCCAGTACTCCATGTGTATTCCTTGTGTGAGTTGTTTGTGCCTTCCCATTGTAGTTGAGCCTCACTTGTTGTTTGCACGTCTAGGGG